ATAATCCCGTAAAATGGAGACAAAAAATAAGAAAAATCGCTTATATATCAACCTACTTTGAGGTTACATATACCATATAATCATCTAATAAATATATAAATTCAATACAAATATATCTAGATGGTCAAAATGGATGGAGTAGGGTCCAAAATACCACCATAATTAATTTTCAGAAATACATGAAACGTATTAGATAGTGAAAATCTACTAGCCTTGTATCCTTTGAGAACAAATAGTATGTGAGAATTCATTTATATGCATCATTATTGATCTAGAATGGTCTAACCAGTCATTTAAAATAATAAATTTTTTTATCAATGAGCTTCCAGTTCTTGATAATGCTTGATTCAATCATCTTTATGAATGTATAATACATGTTATATGAGAGTGTTTAGATATTTTTCTTTTATATGCTTCGGCCTGATACAAAGAAGTTATGTAAAAGATATTCAATATAATTTTCTTGCTTCATCTCAATGCGATATCCCCTTAATGTAGCGGATATCTTTAAAATTAAGCCTTGTTTGAGTCTCATTTTTCAATAATACATTTTTCTCCAAACTCAATTCCAACTCTTAAAATAATATTACACGTAAATTTTTTTTTTCAAAAAAAATCATACTCTTTAACCACACATTCTCCAATAATTCACTATTCAAAAATTCATTTTTGCTAAATAATGGGACTCAAACAAGGGCTAAGCAAATTCCTTCTAAATTTGTTGGAAGAATGTGCACCTTAATTATATAACATTATTTTATGCTAATGTTAATTTCAAAAGTATTTTTGATCTTAGAGAATTGTGTGTCTAATTGCACTATCTACTAAGTGGACATTTTGTTGATCCATCTTAATTCTTATCAATGTTTATGCTTTTTTTGGTGGCAATGGATAATATTCTTCAAGAATATTGAATCACGGAATGTTTTTTCCTCTTTAGGAGCGATAACTAATATTCTTATTGAATATTCGTTATTTTTCTTTAAAAAAAAAAACTACAACTCAATATTGAGTTGCTTAATTCGTGATTTTTGAGAAACATGATGAAATATATACTCTTCCGGAGTAATAAATTTTAAGTTTATTTATAAATAATAATATATTATTCTAGAATATTGATTATTACAATTTGTCGGGAAATATAAATAATCTATAATTGTATACAAATCAATCAAGGAGTCAATGTAATCATTGCCAACACGATATAAGATGTACTCTCTTTTCCAGGGAATAAGCATTTGTTCATAAATTACGCACAAATCACAATTTTTCATGCACTCGGGATCTATGATATTCTTCTAGACTTGTGTTACTTCAAGAACACAATAGGATTCCTATGAAATTATTAAAATAATTAGACTGATGCTTCTTCTAGAACAATAGTTCAACATTTGTCATGCTCTTTAAGAGCAAGTAATATTTTGTAATAATATTAAAATTACATTATGCTTCTTTAATAGCAACGAAAATTGTGTAAAGATTTGCTCTTCAGGAACAGTAGCTTCATATTTTTTATGAAAGATCATATCTATAAAATTACGCTCTTCATGAGCAAATAATATTCAACTAGAATATAAACATAATATTCTTGAGAAAAAATAGCTCAATTAACATTTTTATATAATAATATAAAAAGATATGATTCTTCCGGAGCACAACACGATATAAATCAATTCAAGTAGTCAAAATAATCAATATCAAAATAACATTAGTGATTTGTTTTCCTTCATGGATATATATTAATTCATAAATTACATCTATATTGTTCGAGATATGTTCAACTTTGACAGCTCATTATATTTTACTATTACATTTTTCAATAGCATTATGCCAATATTCTTTTGAATCATTAATGTCATGCACTTGAAGAAACGATAATATTCTTTTAGAATAGTACACGGTTATGCTTTATCGGGACCAACAACAAATTAGACCATTAGATTATGTAAATATTCTATACTATTGATTTCGATTTTTCTCTCTATTATAGGCAAGGATGGACGCAGAACTTAAAAGTTAGGAGGGCACAATCGAACTTGCAAAGAAGTTGAAAAAATTTTTATAATCGAAAATTTACGTTCAAAAAAATCATACCCCATGTAATTTTATATCTGAAAATTTACATGGGATATGACTTTTTCGGATGTGAAATTTCGAAAATTTTTGATGTCATATTCCATATAAAATTTCCTAATAAAATGATGAAAATTATATTGAGGAATTTGTATCTCAAAAATAATAAATGTTATGAAATAATTGAATTTTTTTAAAAAATACGAGTTAAACGTCTTTTTCGACTCACATATAACGTATTTTTAACTATTTTCGATATTTGTTTGGACTATTCGATATGCCCATAATGTAGTTCTCGAAATAAGTTTTGAGATGACATAAGCAATTTGTAGATTCGATTAGCGTACGATCATCGGAGAATTTTTAAAATTAGCATGTTATTGAAATTCAAATAATAATATAGTTCTCGAAATAAACTTTGAGATGACATAAGTAATTTGTATATTCAATTAGCGTACGATTGTCAGAGAATTTTTAAAATAAGCATGTTATCGTAATTCAAATTTTTGTTATTTTGCCCATATTTGGTGAAAATTAAAATTAAATTTTTAGCAAATTTTCATAAAAGTTAAATAGTTATGGGTTTAATGAAATATGTTATTACAATTAATTGTTTGCTTTGATTTAGATTAAAATTTAGATTTCAATCGATACCAAATACAATTTTATACAATATATATATATATATATTCAAAAGTGACCCCCAGGACCCCCTAGGTCCACCCATGATTATAGGTGAGCTTTTTCACGTTCATAACATGCTATAAAAATAAAATAATAAGAGAGAAATATAAGATGGAAAAGTAGAGAAAATCAAAACTCAAATGTATATTTTATTGAAAAACAATGCTCCATATTTATAAGATTCAAAATAAGAGTTACAATATACTCTTCTAGAGTAGATTACTAATCTATGTATTCAATTAAGATCAAATAATCATCAATAATTGTCCTAAAATTTTACAACATTATTAAAAATTAGATACCTTTGTTGGATGTATTTTTTTTTTTTTTTTTAATACTCAGGTTTCCCAATTTACACCAGACTATATCCTGGACCACCCAGAACCGGTGCCTCAACTCTTGGCGGAGGTAAATCGCGGGTAATACCCAATCAAACCAGTGTCCATTCAAGTTTTATACTCCTGGCTGATATTTAAATTCGATACATTCAAAACACATTAATATAAAATCTTATAAGACATGCCAAACAATAAAGATTGAATATTTTGTAAGGTGGACCATATACTATTCGTAACATTAAAGAATATATATAAATAAGTTAAAAGCTTGGTTATATTCAGTCTGATTTTATATTGTACCAAACAAGCACTTATTTCTACCAGGTGTTCACACGTTAATAAATCGAAAAAATGTGTAAACTATATGTTGGATCAAGAAATTTTCAAGCCGCACATTCAAATGAACGAGTGATGCATATTCATTAGCACTGCTATTTTATTAGTGATGCGGCATTTGGATAACTTTAACCGATTTGTCGTCTTAAATTTAAAATGATAAATCAATTAATACAACATTATTACTCATAGGATTGTACATGGACCGGTTTGATTCAGCTCTAAAGAAAATCGAATCGAACCCACATTTTTGAGTATTCAATAAGTGCAGCTGTTTGGTCCAAATTTAATTATGGCACCGTTCAGGTTAGGTTCGGTTCCCGAGTTTCATACAATAATTAAATTTTTTAATATTTACAACATGCTACATTAACTCAATTAATAATATGTTCAATTTTAATTCTTACAAAATAACGGAGTCAAATTCCATGGTATCTTTTGATTCGTTCTTTGTCGAATTATTCATAGATTTGATTGTTAAATCACAGGAAGAGGAAGATAGCTAGCTCACAATAATGAAGATAGGTGCGTCGAGCTTCCAATTCGATTTCTCCAAAACGGCAAAAAATGCACTACTGTAGAATAAGAGATTTAGATAAAATTTAGGTCAATTTGATTAAGTTGTGCTTGAGCTGGAAATTAGAAATAAGAAAATCATATTTTAAGTTTGGGCTAAACTAATTAATTAACAAATTTATTTAAAAAATAACAATTTAGCTTATTTAAGATAAAATAAATAAATAAAGAGATTCAGTTCTTATTCGGTTTTTGGATTTTGGTCTAGAACCAAGAATCAAACCAAATCTGTCGATTTTCGACTCAAATACCCGTTAAGATATTTAACTTAAGAAGAATCGTTCAGTTCGATTCCGGTTTTATTGGAGAGTTTTGTCCAATTTATTTTCACATGTTTCTTTTGAAAGTCATATTTTTGTAATTTTTTTTTTAAATCCTATTCATCATAGAAAGAAAATTTTACTACGCTACGTATCATAAGTAGATGAATCTTTCCAACACGTTTCTTCCACAAAGTGCTCTCCAGCCACCACCCTCTCTTGTTTTTTCTGCACGTGTATTCCTTTTCAAAAGCTATCATATGTACTTTCCTCATCTTCATGTAACAGAAATAAGCCAAAAAAAATTCAGAACGATTTATTTCTGTCTAGCTTCTGCTGGTCTTGATTTTAATTGTGTAACAAAACACCATGAGTACTCGTGGAGATGAAGAACCACATATTGATCAGCTTCCGATTGAACTATTGATTCACATATTTACTCGGTTAACTTCCTTCAAAGATTTGGCTCAGTAAGTTAATTCTTACATATCTTAAAACTTAAAAGGTTGATCCTGTTAACAAGAGTAGCACGAGGCTTTATATGTTGGTTGTTTATTTTCTAATCTTTCGATCTTTTGGATTATATTCTTAGAGTTTGAGCTAATTTTCATTTTGGTGGATACAGGGCAAGCAGCGTGTGTGGGAAATGGAGACAAGGAGTGAAGGAGTCACTAGGTAGGCGTGAAATTTTGCGTTTTGCTGGATGGAAAATAAACGACGATTCAGTCACTCGCATGGTTCTGCTTGCTGATGGGCTCAAGGAGCTCGACATGTAAATTCTATTCTTCTCTGTTTTCCTCATTTTTATGTGAGCTTTAAAAAAATAAACCTAATAATAAGATTTCTAGAATTCATGATTTTCATATATAAATTAATTGATCAAAAAACATATATTGATTCATAGTAATAGTTGAAAGATTTAAAACTGCAAAACAGAAATTAGGAAATCTAGAAACTGTTCTCTCTCTTTTCCTTTCTATAATTGAATATTTTGTTTGATGAGTTCATCCACATTTATAGGCAGAGAGATATATTTTCATGGCCATAATAGAAAATTATTCATCTTTCATCGAAAGTTATGGGCCATAAAAGAAAACTATTAACTTTTCATCAAATTGAACAGTTATTAAACTGTCACTTCTCAATGGACCAATAGAATTTTATCAATAATTAGCTATCATTAATAATATTACTTGGACCAAATTAATAGGTCTTACATTCTCTCACTTAGTCCATGTAATATTATATCGTTATATGGTTTATAACAAAATACGCATATGAAAAATTAAAATTTCTTTCTACATTGGTCATTTAATATATCATCCTTAAATAAAGACTAAATAAGAGTCATTGCGATTTTACATCATTATTTCGACATAATTCATTTCATGTACTACAATATTAGTTCCCACCTTAGCATGACACGTAATGAGAAGTTCGATAACTACATTTCAATATTGTCTTCGAAAAGACTGTCCATGTCTACATTCATATAATCCATTCATGTACATATATCAACTATTATGACATGAATAATATTTTGTCACAAAAAATACATAAACGAGCTCAAAGTGTCAATTACTTAAATTCCATAATGTCAATGATCATTTTCAATAATGTCCATTCTTTCGACATATTCATTAAATGTCTTTGGTGGCAATCCTTTCGTTAGTGAATCTGCAATCATAAGATTGGTACTAATATATATGCTCGATTGACACCTTTTGTTTTGAACTTCTTCTTTAACGGCAAAGTATTTCAATTCTATGTGTTTGCCACCTTTAGAGTGCTTGTCGTTCTTCGAAAAGAAGACTGCTACAGAATTGTCACAATAAAATTTCAGTGACTTAGCAATACTGTCGACAATTCCAAGCCTTGAAATAAAGTTCCGCAGCCAATTTCTTTGAACCGTGACCTCAAAGCATGCCACAAATTCAGCTTCCATAATGGATGCAGCAATGACTGACTGTTTCGCACTTTTTCATGATATAGCCCCTCCAGCTAAGAGGAACAAAGAGCCAAATGTGGACTTTCTAGTATTCACACATCCAACAAAGTCTGAATCCGAATATCCAATGACTTCTAAGTTATCAGATCTCCTATGAGTGAGCATATAGTCTTTCGTTCCTTGCAAGTATTTCAACACTTTCTTTGCAACTTTCTAATGATCAAGTCCTAGATTACTTTGATACCTGCCCAGCATTTCGACAGTAAAATTAATATCTGGTCTGGTGCAAGTCTGAGCATACATTAAACTTCCCACAAGAGATGCATAAGGAATAGTTGTCATTTGTTTGCGTTCCAATTTATTCTTAGGACATTGCATAAGACTAAATTTGTCTCCTTTTTGAATTGGAACGACACTCGCTGAACAATTTCCATCTTAAATCTCTCTAAAACTTTATTGATATATGATTTCTAAGACAACCCTAACAATCCTTGTGACATATCTCGGAATATTTCAATTCTAATCACATAGGTTGTCTATCCCATATCTTTCATTTCAAAAATTTTAGAGAAAAATTTCTTGGTCTCATGTAATAGACTGAAATCATTAGTAGCTAGCAAGATGTCATCAACATATAAAATCAAAAATATAAACTTGCTTACACTGATCTTTAGATATATACATCGGTCAACGATGTTTTCTTTAAATCCAAAGGAAGTAATGGTATCGTTGAACTTAAGATATCACTGACGGGAAGTTTGTTTAAGTCCATATATTGATTTCTTTAATTTACACACCATGTGTTCCTTTCCTTCAACTGAAAAACCTTCAGATTGATCCATATAAACTTCATCTAAATTTGCATTTAGAACTGTGGTTTTCACATCCATTTGATATAGCTCTAAGTCATAATGGGATACTAAAGCCATTATAATTCTGAGTGAGTCTTTCTTGGATACTGGAGGAAATGTCTCATTATAATCAAAGTCGTCTTTCTCAGTAAAACATTTAGCAACAAGTCTAGCTTTATATCGTTCGATAGTACCATTAGAGTCGCTTAGTCTTAAAAACTCATTTGCACCCAACTTTTTTATACGATTCAGGTAATTCAATGAGATACCAGACTTCATTATGCTCCATAGATTTCAACTCATCTTTTATAACATCAACCATTTATCAGAATTAGCACTTTCAATGGCATGTGAAAACGAAACTAGATCGTCATCAACAATTCCTAAGTCAAAATCAAACTCTTGCAGGTAAACTACATAATCATCAGCAATAGCATATATGCGTTGTCTTTATGACCTTAATTCTATTTCTTGTGGTTCATTTAGTGCAGGTTCATTTGTAGCAATTTTATTATGAGATGTTTGATCATTTATTTGTTGTTCTAGAAGTTGTTGTATCGTTCAACAATTCGAAAAACAACAATATTAGAAAAAGTTGAGGGTAGAGAAACTTGAACTCTAACTTCTTGTATTTCCACATTTCGTGGTTCCAAAACTCCCACTAACTTTGCTATTATCAATTAACCTAGCATTTCCAGTTTCAACAATTCTAGTACTATGGTTAGGACAATAAAATCTATACCCTTTCGATTTTTCTAGATAACCAATGAAAAACCTACAGATTGTTCTTGAGACAGTTTCTTTTCATGTGGATTATAAATTATTTCTTCTGTCGGGAATCCCCAAACATGTAGGTGTCTTAAACTGGGTTTCCTCACCTCCATAGTTCAAAAGGAGTTTTTGTAACTGCCTTACTGGGAATCCTGTTTTGCAAATATATAGCAGTCTTTAATGCAAACATCCACAGAGAAATTGGTAAAGAAAAATTGCTTAACATATACCTAACCATTTCTATTAGAGTACGATTATGCCTTTCAGCTACACCATTTTGTTATAGTGTCTGGCATAGTGTATTGAGAACATGTGTCGCGTCTTTCAAGAAATTTAGCAAGTGGACCGGGTGTTGTCCAATTTCATCATATCTTCCATAATATTACCACCTCTATCAGATCTAATGATTTTCACCTTTCTATTTAATTATTGTTCAATTTCATTGACAAAAATCTCTAAAGCATTTAGAACTTCAGATTTTTCATGCAGCAGATAGATATAACCATAACATGAAAATTCATCAATAAAGGTGATAAAGTATTTTTCTCCACAAAATGATTGAACATCAAAAGGCCTACATATATCGGTGTGTATTATTTCAAGAAGCTGTGTGCTTCTTGTGGCTCTTTTCTTTGTGCTTTGGTTTGTTTGCCCTTAATACAATCCACATAAGTTTTGAGATCACTAAAATTCAAGTTAAGAAGGATTTCATTCTTTACTAATCTTTCTATCTTTTTCTTGAATATGTGTCCCAAACGTTTATGCCACAAGTTAGCAGATCTTTCATTCAATAAACCACGTTTAGTACCACCAACATTATGATGTAAGGTTAAAAGTGTCTCGACAAAGAGGTTATCAAGCTTTAATTTATATAAGCCATCACAAAGAGTAGCAGAATCAATAAGATGATTTTTTTAAAACAAATTCAAACGTCAATTTCCACCATTAAAAGAAATATCCAGAAGAATCATGTTTTGATAAGGAAACTAAATTACGAGAAATAGAAGGTTCATAAAGAGTTTGAAATAAATCTAAATGATGTCCTGTTTCTAAAATCAAACGGTAGGTTCCTATAACTTCAACATGAGCTTTGGCACGATTGCCCATGAGAACAAACTTTTCATTTGGATTTATGGTCCGAATTGTAAGGAATCCCTGCATCGTATTGGTAACGTAAGTGGTGCATCTGCAATCAATCCACCAAGTATTATAAAGAACTTCTGCCAAATTAGATTCGAAACATACATAAGAAATAATCTTATCTTTACTTTCGAACCATGCCTTACGTTTCATGCACTTCTTTTTCATGGTGCCCGGGTTTACGACATAAATGGCACGTATCTTTCTTTCGTTCCTTATTGTGGATTTCGACAGTAGACTCATTTATCTTTAGTTGTCCTTGCTTAATGCCTTTTCCAGATCTTTTCTTATATTTATTTCTAGCTCATTTATGACTTACGAGATGAACAAAATGAGTTCTTTGATTCTTAAGTCTTGTCTCCTCTTGCACCAGCATGCTGTGCAATTTATTCACATTCCATTTGTCTTTTAAGGTATTATAATTCATATGAAATAGACCATACTCAGGAGGCAAGGAGTTGATGATAAATTGTACTAGAAAGTTTTCATCAACAGTCATCACAAGAGTCTTAAGTCTTGCTGCAATGTTACCTATTTCAGTAACATGCTCATGCATTGTACGTGAATCATCAAATTTCATGATGGTTAGGGTACTCATCAGTGAGCCAGCTGTTTGAGAACGTTCTTCCACAAATTTCATAAATTCCTTAGCAATCTCAAATTTAGGGATAGTGGACTTAATATTCTTTGCTAAGGTCATTCGCATAAATATTAGGCTTAATTTGTTTGATCTTTCCCAAGCCTTATGGAATGATCTTTCATCGGCACTGCTCTTATCAGTGCGATCAACTGATTTCTCAACTTGAAGTATCAAGTCTAAGTCCAAAACACATAAGTTGAACTGGACTTGTTCACACCAGTTAGAGAAATTGAGCTCATTCAACAGTGGTACAGATGAAGTATGCGAATGCAGAGAAACGGGAACAGATACTGCAAAATATAAAATGCTCTAACATTAATGTTTTTATTTTTTACTTAAACACTTAAATTCAGATAACATTAAATGTATACCATAGCTCTCTTTTGGGTGACACTGCGTTATACCATCATAATAAATATAATGATGCTAGTTAATTTCACGTTATTGGTAATTAAATATATCTTAATCAAACATGTACGTTATCTTTGGATATACAAAACACATCTAATTAAATATGTCAATTAACCACGACTATGTTTAAGATTAATAAAATTAATTGACCAGCCTTTGGACGATCCATAACAATTTTATAATCTATGAACATCAATATACTTTTGACAATAATAATAATAATGTCATCTACATTTATAAGCATCAGACATCAAAAGTAATTGAAAAATAAATTATGTAATTTAGTGTTGACAATATCATAATGTTTGACCACTTTGGTGACTAACAAACAACATTAATTGAACATTAATTACATAAGCAAAATATCTATCACTTGAATATTAGAATTTCGTAAGAACAGAATATATGTGCACAAAACGACATCTTTTGTGCAAATTCACTAAGGCTCACTTGATAACCCAAAACACATAATTATTAGTTTTGGTAACTGAGGTTAAAGTCCGAATTCCTTAATAAAACGTAACTTTAATTACTACAACACATATATTCCAAAATTCAAAAAATCGAAATATTTCCTGTAATGCATCCATTGTCATTAGTCAGAATGACTAAATCAAGGTGTTTAAGTTTCTGACCATTTTCTTGAAAATCTAAAGCTTTTGGCATAAAAAATAACAATAGTGGTGTGTTCTGTACATGAAATGAATTAAAGTCTTCCAACCATTCAATCACTTAATGCTTCTGGTAAATGGTTGGCACAATATCTAAAAAAATAAATTACTTTCAAGATGTTACGAAATTGGCAATGAACATAAACATTAAAACAAAGCAGAATTATCAATTATGAGAAAGTTAATGGTTCCTTATGTAATCATGTATATCCAAGCAAAAAATAAAAAATAAAAATCTTTGATCCATACCTTATTGATTTCAACAGCAAATAAAAACAAAATAGAAATAATTTCACATACTGATTATTTATCTAATACTTAACTTGATTTATAAATCAATTAAAAATTATAAAAACGATAAGCAGAAAACTGCAATCTTTCAAAGAAAATCAAGAATTCTTCAACTTGGCTTTGATACCGCATGTAAGCAATTATATAACCCTAATACCAAGATTTTTAGAATTTATGATTTTCATGTATAGATTTATTGATCAAGAAACATATCTTGATCTGTAGTAATAGTTGAAAGATTTAAACTTGCAAAATAGAAACTGGTGAAATCTAGAAATCGTTCTCTCTTTTCCTTTCTCTAATTGAATATTTTATTTGATAGGGCTTCATTCACATTTATAGGCAAAGAGAGGTAGTTTCATGGACCATAAAAGAAAACTATTCACTTTCCATCAAAGTGAACCGTTATTAAATTATCACTTCTCAATGGACCAATAGAATTTTATCAATAATTCACCATCATTAATAGTATTACTTGGACCAAATTAATAGGTCTTACAAGCTTTTCCAGTGTGCTTCTGTTTGTATGTGACTCGATTTTCCTAAACTGCATGTGCACTTTCATCTAGTGATTAACGGCTAGACGCTCAAACTCTCTGATTTGACACCTGAGCTTAGAGAGGACACAAACTCGTGCATTTATTTAAGTCCATTCATCATGATTTGGGATTGCATCATTTCATTTTCGAACGAATAATAGTAACTATATAGTACTAATTTCTTGTGAGTTGAGATCCGCTACTCCATGTCAATGTCCCTTAATTGTCCTTTCATTAAAATTTGACACCTCACTACATGAAATAGTATTAACAAATAGCAAGACGACCTTTTGCATGTGATGTCACTTGCTATTTGCTAATGCTATAGTACTTTTGCGAAATATCAGTTAGTTAGTTTTTTTTTTTTTTTTTGGGTAAAAACAGCGAAATGGGGCCAATATTGTCTACTTGTTGCATATAGAAAGTTTTCTTTGTGGATATATAATTTACTATGTCTGAGATATGATTCGTGCATTGCTTTGATAACCTAGTTAGTTTTGTGGGGTTCTGGTTTAATAACTTTTTATATCGAATGTTCAGATCAAGAAGCCAACGGGGTTGCCAAGTAACTGACCATGGTCTGTGTCGGTTGTCTACAGCAAAATGTATTTGCAACCTGTCATCAGTATCTCTGTGGGGTTCAACTGTAATCACAGACAAAGGAGTAGTCCAAATGGTATTACACGTTCAATGTATTAAGGAAGGAAAAAAAAATCAACTTTTCCACGCTACAATCAATGCGTTTGTTTTTTTATGACAATTTTTTTTTAATAATTACGTTACTTTTCTTCCACAGATCTCAAAAGCTACTTCACTGCAACACCTAAATCTTGGTGGCACATTTATCACGGATCTGTCCATGTTTGCAATTGCAAATAGTTGTCCTCATCTCGAGGTAAAATCCTATGTTGAAATAATCCACCTTAATATCCCATCTGTTAAGGTGGACTCGTCTGGACAAGGTTAAAGAATAAAAAGTTAAAAATCGTGTCCATTATACTCTCCATTGAACATCATGCACTGACAGTATTAATTTCAATTTTGTTGCAGACTATTGTTTTATGGGGCTGTCGTCGCATAACAGAGAATGGACTTGTTGCGCTAGTAAAGAAATGCCACAAACTCGAGTCGATCAATGTATTGGGCATGAGGGTGCCGCTGGACTGCTTCAATCGTCTCCTTACAATCAATCCAGCTCTTAAAATACAACCAGAAGGAATGCTACTAGATGATGAGAGGGTTCACATATGGTCTATCTTCTAAGGAAGCACGCTTTTATAGTATTACATACATACAGCACGATCTACATGTTAGAACATGCAATGTCGGTCTAAAAAAGTAGAGGATCAACCCGAAGGAGAATATCTCCAATGGTGAAGGCCAAATATAATTCGACATCCTCTGCAACTCTCTAGTGGTAATGTTGCAATTATCATCATCAAAATTTGGTACTCTTCCCATTATTCATTGATCGAGTGCTTAGCGTGCTATTTGAACTGACTTTATAAGAAAAATAGCAGAAACAAATGAAATATATTGTTGAAGGTTAAATTGATCTTTTGACAGTCTTTTTATACATTATGTTGAGCCATTTGACTTGTTACCGGCAAAAAAGTTAGTTTGATGCTTAATAACTTGAAGTCATACTGATGATAGAGGTAGCTTACATTGATGCGATTTTTGAAATTTCACAATGCAATACATCATATAATCTTTCATATCCACAAGAAAACATGTCTGAATGAAGAAATGCCCTTCACCACATTATTTACCGGATAAAACCGGCGCAAGAAGGATCAAATTCGAAAAGAAAAAAGAATTCAATCCCAATATAAATTACCAATGAAATGTAGAGATGTATTAATATGGAAGAACTTAAAATCATAGAGAATGTCCAGTCCAAGCACGTCTTAGAATGCCTTATTAGTAGTCTCTGTTTCTTCAATTATATATCAAAAGCCTGATAAAACATGAATCAATGAAAAAGATAACCATTTCCTCGGTGTATTATTATCAGCAATAGTGCATGTAATGGGCGAGCAAGAAGCAAACGTAAACCAGAGGGACAACAGCATTCTTGAAAGATATTCGACGCCAATGGATTAATCTTGTGGAAGCTTATCCCACTGGCTATAAGAAAAGATGAAATATGTGTACTGAAAATTGTATGGTGCAGTTTTCTAGCCAATTGACATTATTAATACAACAAAATAGCCAACAGTATAGTTAAACATATAAATAGCCAACAGCCGTGCTTAAAGTAATGACCGCATATAGAACCACAGAAAGCTTAACAAGCCAAATGAATCGCCCGTTGGGCAGTGAATCCTATATTGGGTAAATACTGGTTCGACTTTCATCCTTCTGATATCAACACTCCAGGACCAATCTTCTGTGTGCAACTTGGATTAAGATATATACAAGCAACATGAATAAACTGGTGAGAAGACTAAAATTGTCAAGAATAATCGTGTTATTGAGAATGAGTACTTCAAACTAAACACATCCATCTCATTATTGAAGAAGTAGTGATAATAATATGATGAACAGAAAAGGAAAGGAAAAAAGGAGAGACATACAAGGATATGTTGGTCTTCATAGCACACTTCGAGCATATATTACCTACCCAAAATGAATTGATATTCTTCCAGAAAAATTACAGCCATTTTATATGCACTTTTACCTTATGATGACTCAAATGTCCAATCTGTTAGTCTCAACTTCTCTAAGTAATACAACTAAAATTCCTAGAATGTCAAATATTGGAAAAGCCTATTCCCGTATAATAATTTTGCCCATGGTTGGCCCCCATTTTTAAAACTCTTTTTTTGTTCTTTTCCAAACTCATTTTCAACCACATTGCATGGGACCCACAATTTTTATCAATTTTTGAACCATACATTTTATCAACTTTTATCAAAATCTGCTAAAAATCAGATTTTTAGCTAAACTAAACAGGGGCATTATATGAAGAACATGCCCACCAAATAAAAATTGTATATTTATTCTCTCATTAATGGAGCTATTGAACTTCAATCAAAACAAAATAGTCCAAACGGATGAAATCAAGTCAACTCATCTGATAATGTCGTGGATGCAAAATGTATGAAGAAAACAATTTGTATCCGTAGAATAAAACGTAGATGGAGTGTAAAAAACACTTGAACCATGTGGTACTTCTCTTGTTCCTCTTTCTTGCTCTCTACATCAAACTACTCTGCTGAATCCTCAGTGTTTGATTCAAGAGAACTTCAAATCTAGAAAACATACTTTTACTTTTTAATTAAAATATTCATTCTATGTATTCTAACTCCAAAACTTTTACATGCTAGTACATTGAAAGGCAACCCCCTCGGGTTCAGCTCATTGTCAACGTGGACCTATATTTCTACACTGATTGCAACGGAGAGAATGTGATGAGAAAGGGGAATAAGCACAGAACAAATATACTGGGAATATTGACTGTAGAAGCAGCTCCTGTCAACTGCACAGATCCTGAGAAGCTCCCAGCAGTACCAGGGGTTGCAGGAGTTGTGTTAGATGCAGTAATAGTTTTGCAACTTCCGAAAGGCGCTCCTGCCTGCAATAAGTCCGCCAAATTTAGCTCTCTCAGTGCTTCCCTTTCGAAGATAGGAGTAAGTTGGTTGGTTATTAAAAAGTGCACAATCATTTGGAGTTATTGGATCTTGACTTCTATCCAGGGGAAGGTAGTTTGCTAAGAGATTAGAATTACACACGAGCTATCCCGTAAAGATGGTGGTTAATACATTATGAGATCATCTTTTCATTACGACATATTATCCTTTGAAATTAAAACCATCCATTTAGACATTCTATAATGTTCCTTCTGGATAGTAGATAAAAAATTGTGATAAAAATTTAATGAGCGCCATTGGCCAAATGAAAATCCATAATTCAAAACTATTTTGCAGAAGACTATTGGATTGGCTATGAAAATTCCATGTTTCAGGGGAAAACAATTAAGAGCAAAATGGATTGAGAACTATCCAAACCCTGATGAATTAATTCTGTAATCCAGAAACACAACCAACCAAACAATTATTTAAGGATTCACGGCAGTTGGTTTGAATTGACTAGCAAGGAAATAAACAATTAGAAAAAATGAAAATCTTTTAATTTATTTGGAGTTTACATTATATTCAGTAATTTAACAAGCCAAAGTAGTCTCTATTGGATAACTTAATAATTTGATATATTAACAATGGGGTTTGAACTGTCATATGAATCAAGATTTTCGATTTTAAAACGCATGTCATCAAGCCTTATCAAGTCATACAGAGTAAGGAATCAGAATCATATTTTAATGCAGGTTACCTTCCCATCAGATAGACACATCATTTATTTTATTCGTAAAATTCTTTAACCTCAGAACAAGCGTTATCAAGATATATGTTAATAAGTTATTCATTTCATTTCTACCTCTCTTTCCTGCAGCTTTGGATTATTTATCATCAAAAAATTAGATTGCTTTGTACCTTTACCTTTTACAATACCAGTTACACTTACGAGAAAGATATAGGACGAACCTGGCATGAAGTGACAGTACTACACCCACATAATGATTGGCCATTCATTCTATCCACAACATCAAAAACACCTCCTCCATCACTTCTCTGCAAAATTTGGAAGTAATATTGTGCTCTATGAAATACAGCCATTAGTTCTATTTAAAAGCTATGTTTAAAAATTCCAATACCATGTAAAAGTTCACTGCTATGAAATTAGGCATCGCATTTCCTGCTGATTTGTAACAGGTTCCAACCATATCAGCAAGTGGAGAAGAATGCTCTTTGCAAGCCTCATTTTGAACAGGAATCGTTGGGAAGTAGTTCATCAGAAAGAGAGAGGAACTTCTCGAATTGAGTGGCTTTGATTCCTTTCTGTTTGGGCACGAACCAGGTACTACCCCGGGATCCCCAGCTGAAACAAATCATTCTATAAGATTTCTACTGCAAAAGCACATATCAATCAAATTGAAAAACAATCATACTTACGCTCATTTTCCACCATGTACCTCCATTGGTATGCAATTCCTTCACCAGCCTCCTTCGAAGAATCAGAAGTGAAAACAAGCAATCTATGATTATTTTGTACCATATCATTAACAGTGGGCCAATTCTGGCCCTTTTTAGGCATCTTTGCCACTGGATACCAATACTTGTCCAACCCCGCATCACTGAACACCCTTGTCAACCCTTTTGGGGTATGCACATAGTCCTCAATTATTATTGTTATAATCTCTGAAGGATTTTTAGTCATGAATGCTTCAACTTCATTTAACGTATTAATTGCAGGTTCCTGAAACATTGTGCATCAAGAACTTTCTAATATCAACATCAAGAAAATTTCACTGTTGGCCAATTAATTGATGGAAAAATGAGATTTAGTAGATTACAAAAGAAGTAAAATTGTAGCATTGGCCGCGGAATGAGTGGCAGAGCCAGATATCATTCTCGAAATCATACATATCCAGCATCAATCCCCTCACTCCATTCTACAAAAAACCCATTACACAAATCAAATTAATTCTCATAACCCACATTTAGTTTGTCTATGCATACTAAAAAAATGTAGAAAATAAAACTTATAAAATTAAGATAAGAAATGGCGTACTGTCAATTGATTGGTAACACTATCTTCTTGATTGTAGAACGTGATTCGTTGAGAACCAGTCAATAACGGAGCATCCACAATGGAGAAGGCATTATGGGTCATCAGCCATGTGTACTTGTTAAAGGGCAACCCACTTACCTATTACATTATTAGACATAATATAATCAAGAAAATTCAGAATCAAGAAAATCCTAATAGAATTCTTGAAAAACAACAAAAGAATATATTACTATGGAAGTGGGTATGGTGGCTTGGCCTCTGGTACAGAAAGGCTGAGTCTTTCCAAGTGAAGGGCAGTTTCCACAATAAAGACCAGACCCACAATCAGTAGCAGCGGAACACGAATCAAGAAGCTGCAAAATAATCAAAATTCAGCTCAAATTCAGATATAGATGTTTATAATGTACGGATCTATAAGCAATTACACACAGGAGATAAAGAATTAGCAAATAAACCTGGCAATTGGCAGTGGGGATGAAGAAAAGAGGAATAAAGAGTAAAAACAGTAAGATGAAAATACGGTGGCCAGCTGCACCTCTGTTGCAGAGCTTCATACTGTGCTCCTCCGCAACACACGCCAACATGGGAGGTGCACTGCGGGCGGAGAGAGAGGGGAATGGATACAGTCTAATACTAAAGCAGTCTTGGTCTTGTATACAAAAATCAGAAAGCAAAAGTCGGATGCAAAAATCAGAAAAGTTGAATTATATCACTCACTGTGTGTGTGAATTGTGATTGAGAGAGAAACCTTTTGCTGACTTTCTATTAGCCTTGAATTAATTTCATCAGACAATGTTAAACTTTACTTTACGTGATAATCTTGTTATTTTCTTAAGAATTAAGCTTTGTTGCTGCGACATCTACTCAAACATATCTATAAGTCATTAAAGTTATATCCTATATGGCGTATTTCAGACAATAATGTAAATTCTTGTTTGGAATATAACAATTGATAATTTTTACTTATACAAATTAAATTTTTAATAGAGTTTCAAAAATATTGACCCAGTAAAATAAGTGATGATCCTGATTATTTTTGCACGTCCAACCAACTAATTACTAGTCATTCTTCTCGTAAGACTTGTCGAATTGCTATACATGATTTTGATATTGAATTATTTTAGATGAATATGGTCACGTTGGCGATTTTCATCCAAGGGCACCACTTGACGCCCCTGGATGAACATTCGGCACAACTCTTTGACGTTTTATTTAAGCATTTGTATCTTACGTAAATGAGTAATGTTATTCATTCCAGTAGGGATGAAAACACAGTTTATGTGATTTTAAATGATAGATTAAATGAAAGGTAAAATTAAATGACTTATTTCATTTCACCTATCATTTAATGTCACATTAACGTCACCTAGATTATACTTTCATCCTTAATGGAGATGAATAACATTACTCTACATAAATTCCGACAGGCTTTTTTGCTCCAAAAAGTAGTTGGGCAATGAGACCTATATTTGCATCAATCATGGTGGGGTCGGATAAGTTTGAAAAGTTGGACGAACTAGACTCTTTGAGTGCTCTTCACGTGGCATTGCACTTTCAACTTCCAACTCCTATAAAAATGTTCATTTTAATTTATGATTATTTTCCAAGTGTTTTTCACCTCTCAAACAAACTCAACTTCATGAAAGATTAAACAAAATATTGCCTAACGTGTCCAATCCTAAAACGTAACCAAATTGTTGCATAGAACCTAGGTGATTTCACCGAAATCCACCGAAAAACAGAGCCAAATATAAGATTACAGTTGGTGGCATGGCCATAATGGCATCTGTCCCAAGTCAAAGTTGCATTTCTTTTAATTGAAATTTAATTATTCACTAATAGGGATAGATAGTGACAGATGTAACATTTAGTTTTAATTCAAGAGACAGAAGCACCTATTACATTTTGGACCTTTACCACTTTGGTGAATAAACCAAACACATAAATTGTGAGATGCAATGATAATGTTTCTATCTGGAACATAATAACAACATAGAATCTCGATGAAACGAATGTTCAATTTGGTGTCTTTTTTGGCACTGACTACTCAAAGGAGTGCCATCTTCTCTTCTAGCACCTAATGTGGCTGGCTTACTGCACTATTCTGAAGTACAAATAAAGGTGAACTAAGAATTAGAGGAAAAAGTTAAATCGTGGACAAACAATAGTATATTCTGAATTTACATTTAGTAAAACTCCCCAGTACATTCAATCTTCCCAGCAAAACCTATTGAAAAATGGATCCAACGAGTACAACTATAAATTTCTGTCATTTGCTCCACCGGTGAACCTAGAACAACAATTCCATGGGCAATTAAATAAGAAAATAAATAAGAATTTAAGCCTAAATCCTCCCCCCTTGAGAGGCCAGGATGAGCAACTGATGCCTAGAAAGCAGGTATCGAGTAGGTTCAATATAGTAGATTGGTGGTACAAAATGGTTGCTAAGTAATAGAGTGCTCATTCCATGATGTACCAAATCCAAACAAACAGCGGCAGAAGATCATCTTCAACAAACAAATATTTCGTGAAAATGTAATGTGAACCCATCGGGAAAATTTTGAGTGTACGAGTGAATTACAGCTGATTTAATGTTGCAACACAACCAGACTGAAAGGTCAGTTGTCGTGCATTCTCAGATAATTTGGCAACACACTTTGTATACAATCCTTAGATATGGCAACGGGATGGGGCCGCCCCGCTAAGAAATTCCTCACCCTGTCTCCGTCCTGTTACCCGTTTAAGGCGGGGTGGGGTCCTTGTCCCGTTTACTACCCATTTAAATTTTTATTTTTTATTTATTTTTTATTTTTGATAATTTATTTTTATTACACATATTCATTAAATTTAGACAAATAATTTTAATTGTTATTTTCTATTAGAACTAATGAAAATTTTCATTTAAAATATTGAATTCTAAAAAAAAAAAAAATTAACGGGGCAACGCGGGGCGGGTTATCCGATAATCAATAAAGCGAGAATCACTTAAACATGTCATGATGAGGATATGCCTTTATTTGTAGAATAGTGACGTTCATAGAGTGGTGATTGTTGTCGCTCTATATGATAGGGAGATTATATTGTTGAATGAAGTTGGAATATATATTTTTCTTAAACATCGTAATAATAGCCTCATTGCAATATAAATCAAAAATGACGATCACTTTAGAATCTTAGATAGATAGCATTACGCTTATTTGTAGAATAATGATATTAAACTCTAATTGAATGCATCTCCCATCTCTCATATATAACCGTGGGATCATTGACATATTATTTAATGAATTAAAATACATTTCAATTTTACTAAATAATAATGTGACAGTAATGTAATTTTGCTGCCAAATAATTTGAAGATGATCTCCGATAAAAAATAAAAAAAAATAGCATTACTCTTATTTGTATCCTTCAAGAGAACACGTTGTCGTCGCTCGGTTATTATCGATGTTTTCTTCCAAGGGGCCCTGTGGGGTGGATCACTTAATCCACATGGCACATGGATATTGGTTTAGAGCACCTTGAAAGGATTGTGTTAGTTGAGATGTANGTCTTTAGACACTCCATTGATAGTGGTGGAACAAGCTTGAGTACTTTGGTTCGTTTTTACACTTTATGAGTCTATGTTTTCCGCATTGTAGTTGTAATAATCTATTGTTTACTACATTATAAACTCTATAGGCCCTGACCTATATCTTGTTTCCACCTCCCTGGGACGCTCCAATCTTTTAGATAAAATACCCAAATCTTTGTCTTAATTCTGGTAAAGTATCCAAAAAACATTCTTGAATAGTCAACCAATCTCTCTCTATATGTATGTGAGTTTCTGCAAAAAAAAACATAGCAGTAGATAAATAATTCTGGGGATATGGCAAGATTTGAAGAAATATCAACATGTATTGTTCAGGCTTCAAGATCTGCAGGTGTCAAAAATTCACTAACTAGGATAGAGTTATCTCCATGGGATCTACGCCTTCTATTAGTGGATTACAACCAAAAAGGTCTTCTTTTCCACAAACCAAAAACTCAACAAGTAGGAGAGGAAGGTTTGCTCCATCACCTTAAAACTTCACTTTCTCGCACACTAGATTTCTTTCCCCCTCTTGCTGGTCGCCTTGGAATTGAGAAATTTGAGGACGAAACGGTCTGCTTTTTCATTGATTGCAATAATTTTGGAGCTCAATTTACTCATGCTATTGTACATGGCCTTTCTGTAAATGATATTCTGGAGCCAAAATACGTGCCTGAAATTGTTTACTCCTTTTTCCCACTCAATGGGATTCTTGACTGTGAAGGAATATCCAATCCTTTGCTTTGTGTTCAGGTAACTGAGCTCGATGATGGGTATTTCATTGGTTGTAGCATGAATCATTGTGTAGCTGATGGGACGTCGTTTTGGCATTTCTTCAATTCTTGGTGTGAAATCTCAAGGGGATCTGATCATCCATCAAAACTTCCGAGTCTCGTGCGCGGGTTTGCTCCTGATCATCTTAACCTCCCTGTTAAAATCCCTTCACTCCAGAAAGAGTTTTTTAATGAATTCAGCCGGCCTCTGTTGAAAGAAAGAGTATTTAGTTTTAGTAAAGAAAACATTGCTAAACTCAAATCCAACGCCAATGATGAAATTGGAAAAACATCTAGTATTTCTTCTCTACAAGCACTTCTGGTTCATGTATGGCGATCTGCGATACGCTGTCGTCGAATTGATGATGCAAACCTAAAGATTACTTTCATAACACACGTGGGTGCAAGAAATCGGCTATGTCCGCCTTTGCCGGAAGGTTATTTTGGGAATGCTATTCATGGAGGCGTCTTAACGAGCACGCCAGAAGAGTTACTAAGCCATGGACTAGGTTGGACTGCCCAGAAACTGAACCAAATTATAGCTAAACAAACTCATGAAGAAACAATGAATTTCTATGTAGAATGGATAAAAAGCCCTCTGATTTTGAAGAAGGATAATTGGACTAACATTTTTGTTGCTGGCAGCTCACCCCGGTTCAACGTGTATGGAAATGACTTTAGATGGGGCAAACCGGTGGCCGTGAGAAGTGGATTGGGAAACAAATTTGATGGGAAGTTGACCTTATTTCCGGGGCTTGAGGAAGGGAGTATCGACATGGAGATTTGCCTCTCACCCGACATATTGAGTGCTATGGAGAATGATGTGGAATTCATGCAATTTGTTACCTTAAAGTAGCATGGATAACTTTGTGTGGTTTTTTAACGTTGTTTGTTTTCAATTATTATATATATATAGTCTGTACCGAAAAATTAAGATTCTCTTATGCTGTTTCCTTAGCTGCACAAGTGCATTTCCATATTTCTCGAATCACCATGGTTGACGGCACGACTGTAACACCACCACCAGCACCATCTCCAACTGTGCAACCACCCCCAACAACCACACAGATACTACTTCTTCCCCTCTCAGACCTTTAAATTGCTTCTCCTTTAAAGCACAATTCACGTATCTTCTCTTTGGCCTGGATTTACTTGGTCATGTTGATGGCACTCTTCTAAACCTATGTTTGTGTATTATTATGTTTTTCCTGTTCCGATATAAATCAAGATTCTGCAATGCTGTTCTCATGGCTGCACAAGTACGATAAATAATATTCCTTAATAACATCTAAAAGCCATCATGTTCATCTTGTAAATGGGCAAAATCAGAATACTTGCTTCATCTTGTAAATGGGTAAAATCAGAATACTTGCTGTTCAACAAAAAGATTGACTTGCCTTCTGTTTCCACCAGCAACTTCAAATGAAAAATGCACAATCTCATATATTTATTCATTTCTCGTTTTCATATCCATCTTAATTGATTATATGTTGTCTTTCTTGTAATTAGATATACAACAAGATATATAATAAAATATGCAAGCCTCTCTATCTCTCTCTTTATAGCAGATAAGTAAATATCATTTCCCACCCCAAGCAACAAATCAAAAATCTACATATATCACAACTAAATTATATCATTGTGGCTAAATTCTATCGGTCAACTTCATTTTGAGCTTCCTCCAGCTTATGAGAAGGGTGTTTTCTTGCTGTTACCTTTCTTTTTTCTCCAGAATAGCTTCTTAAACAAACTTACACTTTGTTTTTTGTTCAAAGGGACCATGGCCAAGGAGCCAACAGAACTTTTATCTTTGTCATTATTAATTCCATGGGAATTAGTGAGCTGCACCTGAGACCCTGTTGTTTCATCAGTCCTAACAACAGAATTAGTCACATCCTGAACAGCTTCTTTCATTTCGGGAAACTTATCATCACCAGTTTGAGCATTATCCTCGGCCAGCATTTTATCGAGTAGGGACTCTCGCTGGTTAATTCTCCTCCTAGGAGTTGGCATGCTGGTATCAGCTGGAGAAGACTTGACCTTATCTGAAAGGGCAGCGTCCTTAATGGAAGCTAGTGCCTCCAGTTGCTTACCCAAGTTTAGAATAGTTTCCTCACATTCTGCCAATTTCTTGGAAGCTGCCATAAACTCCCAATCCTACAAGGTCAAATATCAGCATGAATGAAATTGTATATGTGCAAAACCACAATCTTTCGAGACACCATTTGTTTTTAACATAACGTTATAAATCAATCACTATCAACAAAGAGGTCAATCATAAGAATATTTCCCATAGAAAGTTCTTTTCTTATTTGAATCTTTCATGTCTGCTTAATTTCTCAGGTGAACCTCCGAAAATTGTCTAGAAATTCTGATCTGAAGCATTGGAGGGAATATTAGAGAAGAGTGTGCATATGAGGCCCATTTCTTTCTATCCTACTCTGGTTTACATTTTCATATGATTCCACTACATGGATCATGGAAATATTTTATCTACTGAATAAACTGACAGAATTCTTCCAAAGTTGAGTTTCTAGTAAAAAAATATTTAAAGGCATGCAATAGCATGAACAGTTTATCATGATAAAAAGACTACCTTTTCATAATATCAACACCCCAGACATAAATTGAATAATTGTTATAAACTTACATTTTGGAGTTGCTTTTCCCTCTGCTTTCCGTCTTCTGGAACTTCCTTCCTTGTCATGCTGACATTATATATTTCAGAAAACTGATATTCCAAAATATGTGTTTGCAAATGAAAAAAATAAGTGAACTGTACCTTTTTAGTTGGATCTGCAATTCATGGCACGTCGCTTCAAGTCTTTCACAAGAGTTATTTTTCTTTTCTAGTTCATTTTCTAGAAATGAAATCTTTTGGCAAGCTTTGTTCAATTCAAGATTGGCCTCCTCTAGCTGGGACTCCAGGTCTTCTTTCATCATCTTGTGTTTTTCAACTTGATCTTCAGTTTTGGCCTTTGATTGCTTCATAGTTTCCATCTCTGATCTAGTTTCTCGAAGTTGAATCATGAAGGATTCACTCTTTACATTTTCTAATTGAAGCCTTCTTTCCAAATCCACAATTAAAGATTCCCTGTTTGCCAATTCAACAGTCAATCTTCTACATTCTTCTTTTAGATTAAGATGAAGCCCTTCTACTTGACATGAACTGTTACAACCACTCAGAGGAGAAACTGTGGAAAGGTATGGCATCTCTTCTCTTTGGAGAAGCATTTTACTTGATTCTGCACAACAATTGATCAATCCATTATCTACTTCACTGTCACTTCGTGATTCATACCAATCAAAATGATTTCTGATTGCATCCTTCATGCTTGAGACGTCTTGAAGGGAAAAACAATGGTTCATGATCCATTCTAAGTTGGAAGCTACTTGTTCAGCAAACTGTTCAAGTTCCATTTTTCCATTCAACAAATCATTGCAAGTCTGAACAAATTGCTGTAAAATGGCAGAGAGTTCAGATGTTTTCCACTGAAACACGCGGACCATGTAGCCTGATGGGGTTTCCGAATCTTTATATGGTAAAAGCTTATCACCCTTCCCCGAAAAAGATCCCACTTCGGAATTAGCCAAGGTCGATACATTTATTCTTTCAACGAGTTTGATAATATTACATAATGATATTCTTAAACCTGAGTGGAATTTCTGGACATCGTTCTTTGTGTGTGATATATTATTTCCAGATCCACTATCAGGCACATCAATGTTTGAAGACTTACTTGGTAATTTCTGAGAAATGAATCCACTAACTTCAGGGGAACACAATGCATCAGGATGGGTACTTTCTTTGTTATTAAGAGTTGTGAGGTCTAAATCATTGATGTGTGCCAAAGCAATTTTGACATCCTCCAATACTTCATCAGGATTTCTCTGTGTTTCCTGACTTTGCAACAAAAGCTGTTTTAGCACGTCACCAACCCATCCAGGAACTTTATGGCCTGCTACTTTATCAGACTGCATATTCTGGCTAGAGACCAAAAGATCCGACATACCATCATAAACTGGAACCATCTTCCTACCAGGTCCAGTTGAAGAATTCCCATCAGATGGACTCCCCGATGGACCACTAATTACATTACTTTCCTCCGAGGAATGATGGGAACCTCCAGCTGGATAATCCACAGAAACTACTGCTAATTTTTCCATCTCACCAAAGTCATCCATGAGATTTGTGTCTAAAGTTCCTACAGGTCTGGGAGACGGTGTTCCCATGTGCTTCTCATTTTTGAAATGCTCCAGCTCTGATATCAAAGCAGAAGCCCAAGACTCAGCACAGCTGGCTTTGTCATCACTGTCCAAATCAGAAATTGATGCCATAGTGAGTTCCTGAACAAAATGCATATGCTTCCCTGGTTCTGCAGTTGTTTGACCCTTTGACGATTCTTCAAGTTGTTCCCCAACTTGTGATAATCTGGAAGCCATACGCACATATGTGGTTTCAAAAAATTGGAGTTCATTTGATTTCTTCTTAAGGGCTTCTTTAAGAATTCTGTTTTCTTCTTCAATTGCATGCAACCGCTCAGTCAGGGACATGGTCCTTCTGCTTGGTGTCTCAGGGGTGGTATCTACAGAAAAGTCCATAGAACCAGCCAGAGAAGGATTTGACTTTCTTCTCCGAGTTTCAAGCCGATCCCTTCCAAGCATATCAACTTCATTCTTCATTTTTGCCATAGCAGCAGGGCCGGGCAACCGCTGTCGGACAAGGAGACGTAGCCTCTGACATTCTGATTCCAATTTTGCAATTTTCTTCGCACTTTCCAGTTGTTGCTTATGTGCAACATCAGCTGTTCTATGATTAAATTCTCTTTCCTCATTCCGAATATCGAGCTCCTTTTCAAGAACCCGAACCTCGTATTTCAGGGAAGCTTTTTCTTTTTCTGTAGATTCTACTCTCGACAAAAGGGCATTAAAATCGGTCTCTACCTGAGCTCTGTACTTGTTCAGATCTTCAATCACCTTGTCCTTTCCCAAGAGAGCCCTACTGAGCTGAGTATTTTCAGCGTCTAATTTGGCGAGCCTCACACCTGCCTCCGCTAACTTTTCATCTAACACGATCCTTGTTTTCTCAAAGTCTTCTGATGCCTTAACCACAGCATCATGACTTCTACTCTCCTGCTCTTCTCGAACAAAACGCAGTTGCTGCATACACTCCTTCAATGCAGCATCCAAGTGACTCGATCTTTCTTCAGCGGCTGCCTTCTGCTGTAAAACTTTATCGAGTTCTTGTTTCAAAAATATTGCTTCTGTCTCTGCTTTGTCCCAGCCTATTAATATAAATATATCGGAGAGAGATCAAATTTTGTACAAGACTACAGGAAAATTTTGAGAAATTCTTCTGTGTAATGAATGTGTACAGTCCAAAAGCTTTAGTTACAATATTGTTGAACAGTATATCACCTGCAATAGCTTCCTGTCCAATTTTCATCTGTTTCTTCGCAAATTCATCCTTGGCATTACGCTCAGCAAGGGCAGAAGAAAGCTTGTCATTTAATATTCTAATTTCTTTTTCTAGATCTGCTTTCTCAGTCAGAAGAGTCTGTACCAGAAGAAACATTAATTAGCAGTGTCTGTATCCACAGAGATAATACGTTAGCAATGCTGAGCAAAGAGTGTGATTCTTGGACGAAATATCATATAAAGAAATCTAATTCATTTCAATTTTATCAGTGTTCATACAAAAGTGGGTGCTATTTTCACTAGTTTTACTAACACATTCAGATTTTGCATTCAGTTATGGTAGGCTGTATTACTACATCTGGAAAATGTATCTGAAAAAATCAAAAGAAATGTAACATGCTCAACAAAATGGTATGATGCAGATATTTGCATGGTCGCGATGGAAAAGTCAACTGGTAGCCAGACCCAGATTGATCTTGCTTTCTATGAAAGGTGACTATCAAGCTTTTTATTAAAAGATTATCCTTGAAATGCTGCGTATTTTATCAAATTTGATTGGGTTGGTTCAGGAAGAATGGTTTATGTTGGGGCAAACAAGTCCCACATCGGTTGTGAGAAGAAAATAAATCTACCATATAACCCAAGTGGGTTATTCCACCCATTACCAATTGGTTTTTGGATGGAACCTCACTTGGACCTGGTGGAATGGGCTTGGGCCTTGGGTAATTGCTCTCAATAATTTCCTAACAGTTTATATAGGAAACTTAGTGGTGACGTGACCCGAAAGCAAGACTCCACAATTCGTTGGGCTTACATTCAGATTAGATAGCACCCTAAAATATCCAAAAAGAACAGGGGCACAAGCGTGATAGGGATCTTTATGGTTGAGACTTGAGAGTAGCTCAGCCATTGTTTTTGTGCTCTGTTGACAGAAAAATGCTACAAAAGAAGTAGCTTCTCATAGAGAACTTCATCCTAAATGGATTGTGTCTTTCAGTGACACGATTCCTAATAGTCTTTGGCAACCAACCATTAAACAATTAAAACTTCCATACATTGATTAAATGATTTTGGCAGTAAAATTTCCTGGAATTTGGCTGAGCCTCACTCACGATTTGTAAGAGAGTAATTCTTTATTCTCCCAACATATCTAAGCTGTAAGATAGAGAGGTGACAGGCTCAACTTTCATTACCAGTATTTCCTAGGCTAAGTTGCCTTAAGTTTTGCCACCAATCACAAGCAATAGTTCTATGAATTTTTTTGATCCAATGTTCTCAACATGAAAGAAAAGAAACTTTTGGTAACACCTTCATATTATTCGTGTCATTTCACATGTTTAACAAAACCAGAACGAAAGAAAATGCAAATTCGCTGAACCTACTGTCGTGTAGAAGCATATTAAAACAACTGTACATCAAGTGAAATCAACAAAGGTATTGGATCAACAAGTGAATAAACCATACTTCAGTTACCTCCTCATCATTTCTGCTTTTCTGTTTGTCAGATACTAAGGTCTTCTCCGTGGATTTTTTCTTCCAAAGCCATGAGTTCTGATCCATGATGGTTTTTAGAATCTCTCTCCTCAAAAAGATTTACGAAATGCAGAATTTCTGTCAAAAATTGTACAGACTTAAGCAATTAGGTCACACTAGAAGCTCATACTAAAAACAACTAGTCACTGGTCTATCCCATATACATCTACTAGAGTAGGAAAGCTAGTGAAAGAGAAGTCAAAACCCTGGCATGTTTTAATATAGTGATGGATATTTACAGATGAAAATTTTTTATGTCTCGCATTGTTTGTAAATCAGCTTAAAAAAAGGACATATGACGAGGAAGATGACTGATTGAAGGTGATAACATTTTGTTTAGATGGATTCTTTTAAGACAAGATGATACGCATACAGACATGTATCCAAATACACACAACTGGTAAATGTATTGTGCTCAGACAAAAGTGTGACCAAATCTCACATGTATGCTCTGAAGAAAAATATTTCGGGAATAAGTGTTGAGGTCTTCAGTTTGGTGGTAAAGCTTTCTAAAATTTTCCATCTACACAATAATCGCTTATAAATTTTTCACAATTAAGTCTTCCTTCCAAACTATGAGCATAGAAACGTCATATGTCTCAACAGTATTAACTTAGATGCACTTATATATGACCACCTTTGTGTCCTTTTTGGTGTAAATATCAAAATATATTTATTTACATAAATGTTAAAGACAGGATTGATTAACATAACCAATGGAAACAGGCTAGAAGACAAAGTGTTACTAAATTATTGGGAACAAGTTTGTCTTGTTACTGTGAAAAGTATTTTCCCAATATTCATTAAACCTAGAAATGGATTGTTCACATTACAAAAACTTATTTTGCAGCATTGAAGCATTTTCGTCTTAAAATGAAATAAGCAGCAGCACAAACAACATCGAATTAAAACAATACTTAATCCCCAAAAACACAATGAACAGCTATAATTAATAACTAAAATCAAACATGATCAACTTCAAGACATTATAATATAAATGATGATCGCATTCACCTCCCGACTTAGCTAGCGGAAAGCAAGAAAGCGGAGAAGATGCCGAGACTTCGAGCAAATACGGATCAAATGTGGAAGTGATGAAACTAATGCTGCTACGTCTGCGTGTATATAGAGTATGGAAGCAAAAGTGTGTGTGTGAGAGAGTGGAGAAGTTGGTGGTGGGAGGACAGCGAGTCTGGATCTGATAGTTGGGCAGTCGGGTCAGTGAAAGGAGCAGGTTGCTTGGGTCCGACGGGCCGGTGAGAGCGGGTGTCACTGTCATGGTCAATTTTATATTTTTATTCATGTGTGTCCATATCTTAACGAACCCAAAAATGAATTTATTCCTACCAAAAAATAAAAATAAGAAATTAAAGGTATTTTATCATTTTCAAATCGTTTTCTATTTTTGATTTTTCAAAATAGTGAAAACGCATTTTCTTTCCTATTTTCGAAAATTCGTTTTTAAAAATAAGTTAAAAATTTATAAAGAAAACTCAAAACGACAAATTTGCCGTTTTGAGTGTTTTCAGTTATAATCAAGTCAAAATTTTCAAAACGCGTTTTGGGTATTTTCAAAATAATTTTTCAAAATGTCAAAAAGAACACATTTTCAATAATCTCAAAATTGATACTTAAAACACAAAACTCAAAATGAATTTAAAACACAAAATCGAAACGCAAAGAGAACAACTTTTGAAAAAAATACTGTACATATGATATGACGTAAGGGCTCGTTTCATAGGATCTATACTTTTATTTTTATTTTTCGTGAAATAATTTGCTAAACGTTAGATCATTTTTTTTAAAATCCGCATATAAAATTCTTTCAAAAAATTATACAAATATATTCAAAATTATCTTCGCTCTTGAGAAATAATTTTCGACTTTTTCAAAAATCCTACTATTGGTGACTCAACTTTGCAATTAACTTTATAAATGCATCATCACGGAGCACTAATGATGAAAGTAATCGTGATTAGTTCAGGCATGTCTGTATTCCACTGTTTGTATTATATTGCATGTTGGAACATATTTTTGGGGACTTTTCACTTTTGATTTTGAATTCAAAATACGTAATAAGAAATAAAGTATTACGTGATAATCTTTTTTTTTTTTGTTTTTGTTAACGTATGAACCCACAAATGCAACCCGCCAACAGAACCCCGATCACTGTGAGTGGTAAACTCCGCTCCATGTGCAATAGTTCGCAAACCACACAAGAGAGGTAAACCGCACTAGACAAGCGAGGTGCAACGGGCTCGACTGAGAAAGTGTTGGCAGGGAATTTGAACTCGTGATATTTGGTCTCAACATTCACCAACTCCACCAACTCGGCCACCCCCGGATGGGTAAGTATTACATGATAATCTTTGATGTGTGATGATCTCGTCAAAGGTATGTATACATATTGTATAACTACAGAAAAAAATAAAATAAACACTTCCACATATTACGATTAACGTAGGAGACATTTATTTTTTTCATGAGAAATCTCTAGAATTCCCACTACTTAGCTTTCAATTCGTCTCTGATCATCAAATAAAATGTTAATTATCCATCCTCTCTTTAAAAGAAGGGACGATTCCGATTCCGTCAATGTGGTGATCTTGTTAAAGGTGTGTATGGTACAGTAAATGATATTGTATAATTATCCACCCTCTCTTTAAAAGAAGGGACAATTCCGATTCTGTCGATGTGGTGATCTCGTTAGTATGATACTGTATAATTATCCATCATCTCTTTAAAAGAAGGGATGATTCCAATTCCGTTGATGTGGTGATCTCGTTAAAGGTGTATGATACTGTAAATGATACTGTGTAATTAAAGGAAATAATATTTAATTTTTTAAAATTATTCTATTTAATCAACCATGACGTTGTACTGATAGTTTAATCGTCAACATGATTGAATTTGCATTGAGGATTTAGAAATTTTTAGCAAATTACACATGAATCGTGATTTAAGACTTGAAATCACGCAAAACTAACCTCTGATTAACATGTAGCTACCTACTGCGGATTATTACATGTTTGATTAGAATAACTCCTTAATCGATTGTTATGTTGTCTCTTTGTCAAATGGCAGGTAAACAATTGCTAACAAATCCAACAAAAGATAACATCAATTCTTCATTCTTACAAGTTAATCCATTCACAAATTTACTCTTAGACGTCTGCAGCTTGGATTTAATTTAACTAACCATCTTTGTGTAAGTAAAAATAGAAGGCTGATTTAATTTAATTAATCATGTCGGTATAGGTGAATATCATTTTTTTTCTCATCAAAACTTGTCACGTGGTCATAATTAAATTTAAATTCAAGACTTTTTGTCTATTCAACACCACATTTAATCATTTAATCTAAGTCCTTGTTCGGCTCCATTTTAATTTTAATACATTTTTCTCTTCATTATTTTCAACCACGCGTTCTTTAATAAAATAATTACTATTCAAAAATACATTTTTTTTTTTTCAAAATCTCATTAAAATGGAACCCGAACAAGGCTTAAAATGACCGTACAAGACTCTGTCTAATTATGCACTTCATATTTACTCCTAGACGAGGACCGAAAAGAAAATGTAAATCGATTCACTTCATTCCTATTAACTAAAAATTATTATAATTATAATTATATTTTAAGGATTCAAGAATTCATACCTTCCATTAAAATTATTTTCAGTCTATTTTATCTCCAACTTGCCACTGTGCCCCTATTTGACAATCTTCCAAAAACAGGAGGTCCAAATTACTTAGTCGCCCAGTTGATTGTTCTGATCTAGTAAACTTGTTTTTTAGTGGGATTGCATTAGGCAATCCAATGCCCAATTTTTGTTTCCCGTGTGGAATTTTTTCCTCAATAAACTATCGTGGAAATTACACACATGTTTTTAAAGAACAATTTAAAAATTAAAATTAAAATTACTCTCTCTCTCTCTCTCTTCCCTACGGCTCCACTTCATCGTCGCTCGCTGCCCGCCGCCAAAGTTCTACTATTACAACAACCACAACCTGTCACACTCCCGCTACTTTTGCAAGTATTGCCGTCGGTACTGGACTCGCGGTGGCTCGTTGAGCAATGTCCCAGTAGGCGGTGATACCTAAAAATCAGCCTCCTCCCACAAACGATCCCCTACCATCTCCACCCGTCGCCGTTGATATCACTACCAGAAGCAGCTTGGTTTCTAATGTCACAATCCGGTTGAGGAGAACCCGATTTCCGTGGGTATAAATTCGGGGTCGGGTCCTTTAGTGAACTTGAATGATTCTATTCTTCTAGAGACAGAGAGCTTGAGTTCTTGGTTTAGAGGGCAAATGGGCATGGATTGTGGGATTTTGCCTTTGAATGTAAACGAGATTGGCCCATGGAGGGAGATAACTGCTTGTCAAAGTATAGTCTCGTGTGAACCAATTTCAGGTTCCAAAACTGAAATGGCACTTACTGCAGTAGGTTCGGCGTAGCGGTTTTTGTTTGGTTTTGTGATGTTGGGTGTTTGGGTGATTTGTGATCTTTTGACCTGATTTTGATTGTGGTGTTGGGCGATTTTGTGAATTGGATTTTAATTGTGATATTGCGTGTTTAGGGGATCTGTGATCTTGTGACTTGATTTTTATGTTGGGTGATGTTGTGAATTGGATTTTGTAACAAGCTAAGTCTAAACAATTCTAAACTTGTCGACGTCGAAAAGTATATGGACCAATTCAAGTCAACTTTGAGTGTAAATAAGGATTTTTATTAATAATCACTTACAAACTACAATAACTTTTATTCAATGAGATATTTGAAATATGAAATTCTTCAGTTTCTCCTCCTTTCCTAAGGATACCATGCTCCTTTTATAGGAAAAGATGCTCGGATCTGTCAAATTTCTGTCTTGTCAACAACAGTACCGAGTTGAAAAAGTACATAAATGACATATTCACATTGGTTGCTGAGGTCGGCTCCATCAGACTATCTTGAAACGTTCTTTAGATGGGTCTCAAGGACTTAATGTTCCAGTTAGAGAAAAAAGCTATATCATATGATTGGTGGAATAGGTGGGCGCTGATTTAAATCTTGAATGTAATTAATTGATTGGATGTTTAACAGTGTGTAAGGAATCTACAATCATTATGCTCCATCAAACCACGACGATCATAAGTACGAACTGAATTCACGGATTCGACCTTAATTTAGCATAAACTGAGTGCACTTAACAAATAGACTTAATTAGATCGCAAGTCGGATGACAACAAAACTTATGAGTACTAGCATTAATTTTCATTTAAGAAGTAAATACATCAAAAGAGATAGAATTGAATAGCATCAAATAATCTCGATTTATATCATAATTTGCGAGATTTATTAAAATCCTAGACAATTGCTTAAAGAAAGTACATAATTCGAAATGATTTATTTATTTAAATTTTAAAAAGGGTTCAAACAATCTTATTAGATTAGAAATAGAACATTTAACTCGGACGGTACTGATTCTATCTCGCCTCAAGTGGCCACCTTGCATCATCTTGCTCTTATCATTTGAAAATAAGGAGAGATGAAGTGGAATGAGCTAATGCTCAGTAAACAAACCCCATACATATAATGCATGCTTATAATATACATATGAATTACTTAAAATAAATATATTTTCTATTATGTATTTCATTTTCTTAAAAACATTAAAGTTAACATTGTGAGCTCAAGTTAGCGTATCGCCTAGCCAATCAGAACGCGTTGGACAATTATTATTTGGAACATGATTCATTCTACCAATAGTATCGTAATAGTTAACATTGAACATTGAACATTAAACATTGATCAAGTGCACCAATCCCACACTCCACATTTGTCACTCACATCTTTCATGTCATAGGCATACACCTTGTAATAAAAGTATTCGAGATACATATCTTTTTCAAAACATTCATTGACCTATTAAAATTTGAAAACTTTCTACCTCGTGAAGCTTCATACACATTTATGGATGCATTGTCATTAAAAATTATGTTATGATAAACATTTATGACATAAAACGCAATAGTCATATATCACGTTAACATCATGACAATTTAGAAAACATGTTTATGCATTTAATCATGTGACGTACGCATGAAAATAAGGTGAGGTTTACTTACCTCAAGTCCTGACAATTTATTTTTCAAATTTCAAGTGAAAATGTCCCTAGCAACCCCCGAAGTCAACGTGCCAAAATCCTAATTCATATCAATTATTGAGGAACTTCGTTGAAATTCACTTTTTAAAGGTTAAGTCATAATTTTATTCCATTAACTTATTTTATTTATTTTTACTATATTATTATAAATATATGTACACACAAATTGGCACGAGTTTAGATTTAAATTTACATTGATTAATGTACGCAATCACAACCCACGTTTACATATACATACATACAAATACATATTATATGTGCACCCATCCGTATATAATTACACACAAATATACATATTTATACACAATACTCATATACACACATATTGTCCTCTATATGCGTGCCCCTAAAACACACACCACCTATGTCTATGTGTGCACGACCATACATACATACATACTCGTAGACACCCCCACATATATATATTAACATATTCATACAAGAATCTCACTGCGGTAAACAATGTATCTAATCATGATTGACAAATACTGTTTTAATGCTATCAATTGAAATATCATAATTATTTTTGAAAGCAAACTTCAAGAATTATTAAATACCTTACAATAAATTCTTCAAATTCAACAGAGAGGTCACGGAAGGAGTGATTTTGATATGATTGAGTAAACTCTTATATGTAAGGAGGTGAGTTAATAAGTAAAATTATTGATCTCAAACCAAATGGTAGCTAATTAGACATAATTCATACTAATTAACTAATGAGATCCATCATTTATTCTTATTAAATTATTTAAACTCTATATTAATCCTATTGATTTACTAATTCCTATTATGTCATCCAATTATTATTTTCAATTAATTTACCCAAATATATTTTTTAAGAAAGAAATCTTGCAACTCTAAAAGCAAGATAAATTATAAACACATAGTAAAATATATTTTATAATTTAATCTTATATTAATAAAAATTATAACCATATTAAACTTAAATTAATGGCGCATCAATCGTCTAGGTAACCAAGGCACATCCCATTGAAAAAAAATATAATTAGTCATGACAAAGATATTCACATTTATTAAACAATAAATGTAATATAAATAATAATCAAGACAAAAATAATAATAATGAAAAGTAAGCATGTGATGTTACAGATTTAGTGCCTCATCTTTGTGGTGGGTTTGCCGCGATTTTGTGGTGATTTTTGAGGCTTTTTTGTTGTGTTTTTGCGACAGTTTTGTAATGGTTTTGCGGTGGTGTTGGTGATGGTCAAATGTTCATAAAATATATGTCAAATGCCGTGTTGATATCTGGTGGTGATATGTCACAGCTCACGTTACCATATCACAGTTCAGTGTGCACAGATCACACTCCGCTCGTTACAAGTAATATTAATAGTTTACAGATCATGTTTGCAGGTCATATGTCACATATACTAGATCACATGCCATTATACATAAGTCACAGATAAATATCCATAGTTCACCAATCAAGCACACTTGGTCATAGATTATGTTTGCAGGTCACCGGTCACAATCAACATGTGGTGGTGATAAGTCACAGGTCATTTTGTATATGTCACAGATAAATGTAAATATGTCGTGAATCAAACATAGCTGGTCATAGATCACACACCACGAGTCACACTTCCCTGGTCATAACTCATATTGTATAAGTCACAGATCAATGTCAACATGTCATGAATCAAAGTCAACAGGTAACGGATCATTAATTTATGTCCACGTCATAAGTTATAGTTCACAAGTCACATGTTATTATTTACAAGTCAACATTCATAGGTCACATATCATATTGTATAGGTCACATATCAATGTTAACAGATTATATATCATTTTGCATAAGTAACAGATCAATGTTTACAAGTTACTGATCTAAGAGAAATTGTCACATACCATTGGATCAATATCATAGATAATTGATCAATGTCTAAAGGTCACAAATCCAAAAGAATTGGTCACATGTCATTAGATCTTATTGTTCTTTTTCTGTTCGATTTTATGGTTTACATTTTGCACAAAAACGATGTGATGGAAATTAAAGTTTCACCCACCAAACCCTATAACTATAGGTAATTGTTCAGAAGAAACTTCTACGATCTTGAATAAAAATCATGAATTAATACATATAACTTCTATAAAATCACCAATAACAATTTTATATCTATATCTAAATCTAAATCTTGGCAAAATGTTGATGGATAACTCGAGTAGATCCATAGATCGTGGAATGGATAGGGAAGGTAGGCCGAAGCACCATACTACATGCATAGATTGTGAACTCCCTCATTACTGCGAATGCAATTCCCATCGCATACTGGCTCGCAAAAAACCTCTTAATTCCATCACAAGTATTTTCTTTACTTTCCCTTTTGCCTATCTATTTTTCAATAACTTCAAAAAAAAAAAATTGTTGCTCATTAGAGTTCTAAGACTATGCCTGATGTTAATTATGAACAGAAAAAAATAAAATACAGAAAAGTTGAAAACTAAAATAAGGAAAAAGATGAAAGGGAAATAAGTGAACCAGGAAAACCCTAATTACTTATCGCGGTAATTGGACATCGGTAGGTCTCACATCGCCGAGCCTTTCCTAAATTCCGTACTTTCTTAATTATATTTATTTATATATCTGTATTATCTGTTTTCTCTCTGTCATTTTCTCTATTATACTTATTTATTTTACACACTCAAACGACTAAATCATTTCGAACAGGAATGGTTAAAACCAAAAATCAAAAATCCAAACCTAATAGACAAGCGAAGCAATCACATGTATTTCTCCCTAAAACATTGAATTTTTTGCACCATTGAATTATATTTTCAGTGCTCAATGTTTGTTTGCTAATTTTATTTTATTTTATGCAACTTGTGAACAGAGTAAAAAACGTGGAAAGGAAAATGATATATCTCAATTTCGGGCTCAGCTAGATGTCTTGGGGTTGAAAATCATTCAAGTGACTGCCGATGGTAATTGTTTCTTCAGGTTTGTGGTAATTCATGCACGTTGATCATGATAAAATATGTGCGTAATTGAATCATTGCCCTGCTTTTAACTTATGGCTATTTTAGTATGTTTACTAATGTATTTGGCAGGGCATTGGCTGATCAACTGGAAGGCGACGAGGATGAATACAATAAGTACCGGGGTATGGTAGTCGAATTTATCAGGGTAAATTTCTGCCTTATCGGAAATTAATGTAGTTTGCTTTATCGATTTTGTTAGGGTAAATTTTACAATAAATTCAATGGCTTAGAGGGTTTAATGTGTTTCCTAGTATATAAACATTGTTTTCATAGAAAACTTATCGAAAACTTTCCTTGTATATTTGTAAATTGGTAGTTTTTTTTGAGTTGCTATTATTTCGTTCGTAGGGGTTCTTGCTTGAGCTTCTCTTATTAGGAGATTTGAGGGGTTTTAATTGAATAATTGTATTTTTAGCCCAAAAATGTAGAAATTAGAGATTAGAACTATTGTATTTATGGAATACGCTTTGCTTGTAGCGAGGTTGTAATCTTGTCGGAGACTGATCCAGTCTCGCCTTTTTAATGTTATATATTCCATATGTTGTGCTTCCAACCTATAAGGCAAAACGGTTGATGAGCTACTTTTTGCAGAATAATCGGGAAAGGTTTGAGCCCTTTATTGAAGATGAAGTGCCATTTGATGAATATTGCAAGTCCATGGGCGAGGATGGCACTTGGGCAGGACATATGGAACTGCAAGCTGCTTCTCTTGTCACTCATACTAACATATGCATTCACAGAGTAAATCATTTCTCTCTCCTTAAGCTTTTTTAGCATTATTTGGACATTTTCATTATCTATATTGACGGGGCAAAGTTTCCAAGCTTCCCTTAATAGTTAAAAAGAAACGCTATGTTTCTCATGTTAGTTTACTCTCAACTATTATCTAAGAGTTTCTTCATAAACTGAGAATTTACATTTTTTTTGTTTTTATAGCACATGTCACCTCGCTGGTACATACAAAATTTTGATAAACGTGAAGCTCGGATGATTCATCTGTAAGTACTTCTAAAACTCTGGAGGTGAATAGTTAATAGGATTGATTTAACAAGCATCTATTTTTGTTTATAATTTCTCATGACCACTCTGACTTTTGCGTTTCTGGCGTTGTATTTCTGCATCATCTGTTCTTTCATTTCCCTTCTACATTCGTTTTTGATATTGTATGATAGGTTAGATTCCACTTATGAAAGCCTAAAGTATATGAAGTGAGATTTATATGCTTTTTTTATTTGTTTATGGACATTTGCGTGGAACCGTCGTGATCACCACAGAAACTGGTAATTGATGGTCTATTAGAAGGGATGGTGGTTAAATATTTAAAACACATAGGCAATCAATCTTTAGTGGTTGGATCAGTTATTAAGTTTTGTTAACTCGCAAAATATTATCCTATATTTAGCCGTGGTTGCCATCATAGGTTCTCTTCTTCCATATTGGTCAATGCTAAGCCATCTCTGGAGTTTCGCCACTATGGTTTTGATCTTTTTTATTGCCCATTCCTTGTGACGAGACTAGGAAAATGATTTGGTGTGTTTGATTAATACTTGGAAATTTACTGGTCTTTATGGATCTTGATGACATTTATTACGTTTTAGGGTTCATGGAATCCCATATAAATATCTTATGTTTGTGTTAAAAGTCTGGGACAAGGCCTAGTTGTTTGTTGTATTGTATGACAGATCCACTTCTTACCAAATGGCCTAAAAGCTGATTTAAGTGATTCATTGATTGTGATTGATTTTTTATTTTTTTTTGAGAAAGTTCGAGGTAGAAAATGATTTATAATCTTATGGCTTGGGAGTTTTGGAGTAGCAATTATGAGCTTTTTTTTAAAGTACTGGTTTTGAGCGTTTATGAATGGATCGGTTTTGAGTGGTTTTAGTAGTGATTTTTTAGAAACAGTCCAACCTATACTTGAGAGTTTATTATCCAAGTGTTCTTAATTTTTTTTTTTAAATTACATATATGTCCCTTATAGTGAAATTTTCAGTTTATAGTGTCCTGTATGAATTTTTTATTTATTTATAAGTGATATTTTACTTATAGGTAATTTTTTACATATAAATTAATATTTGCTTTAAAAAGTTAAATAAATTTAAATATTTACTTAAAATTTTAAGTTAGTATTTTTTACTTAGAAGTAAATTTTACAATTATAAGTTAATTATGTACTTCTAAATAATTTTACACAAAAGTGATTTTTTTACTTATAAGTAACTTTTATGGTTTATAAGTGAATTTTTTTATCTTATTAGTAGTATTTTTACTCCATAAACAAGTTTTTAGACGAGATTAATTTTCATCTTATAAGTAATTTTTTATTCATAAGTAATTTTTTAATTATAATACAATTTTTTTTGCAAATAAATAATTTTTTAGTTAATATATTTTTATTTATAAGTTAGTTTTGAACAAAATATATTGATTGAAAATAATTATTTTATAAAGGATAAAATTAGAAGAGAACATAAAAAAGGTCAAAAATCGCTAATTTGGTGGGATGAGAGAACCGCTCAAAATTCATCCAAAATCGGTGCCCAAGACAACTAATAAGCACGGGTTCTTTCAACCCCTTATAAACGGTGTCACTCAAAATCGGTCAAAAAAAACTCCCAAGTAGGCCCTTAGTAGCTATAGTCAAATTATACATCCAGGTTATTTAATTTTATTCTGTAACAAATATGTCAACCGATGATTGTTTTGTCTATAATTTTGCTTTCCCCCTTTAATAGGATAGCATGTTATTCAGTTCATTTCGGGTTATGGTAAGAAGTTGGCGTCAACTTCTATTTCCTTGAATTGGTAATTATAGAAAAAATCAGCACTAGACCATGCAAAATACCCTGCAAGCCTCATAGAGTGAATATTTTCTTTATCCCAAAGAAAGAATTGTGCTATTACTCCTTAAACCCCTATTAAGGAATGTGTTCGTTTCAATGCTTTAAAGTAGCCCATATGTTTCCTAATGTGCCATCTATGTCCAATGTTGGCAAATGACATACTATCCTATTCAGTATGCTTCACTTCTACGATTGTGAATTGGATATCTCAGTTTATTGGGCACAAGTATTTAGATATGGGTTTAAAAACATGCTTTAGGCAGTTAGTTAGATTTTACATTAATTGGAGCATCGATCCGTATGCTGTTTAATTGGAGTGCTTGATGCTTATGGTGGGATTTTTAAACTAAGGGTAGTTTTGGAAGAATAATTAAAGAACAATTTATTAGGGAATCTGGCATTGATCTGGGAATACTTTAGGTCAGAGAGAATACAAGCACACCAAGAATGAGAACTGTGGTTATACCCACTTAGCATCCTCCTCTTTAGTCTGATATTGTTGTCGACAGTAAGCTACCTGAATTTTTCAAATCCTGGTTGTGCCCCGACATTTCGTTATGCTTACTGCTATAGAGAAGAGAGACAAACTGCATTGATTTTTGCTTTTGGAGGGATATTTGGTTTTCTGCCATTGACTTTTCGTAATTTGCAGTTCTTATCATGACGGAGAGCATTACAATAGTGTTCGATCTAAGGATGACACTTGCTCTGGACCAGCTAGGCCATTTGTTATCAAGGTTTTTCATTTATTCTTCTAAATTCCTTTTTCCTAATTTAATTTGAATGACTTATCTGTTATTTTTGGTGCTTTATTGAATTCTGATTATCTCAAATTGTATCAAAAGGCTGATTCAGATCTTTCGGTCATGGCTAATCAAGCAAAAGTAGCTGCCACAAAGTCTCAAAGGGAAGCTGGCACGAAAACTATTCAGGAAGAATCTATCAAAATAATAAAGGCTGGAAGTGGATGTGAAGATGCCAGACAGATCGAACAGGTGCTTATCCCCACCCACAGCACCACAAAAAATAAAAAAATAATGGAAACAACAAGATCAACCATGCAAAACAAGAAGAATGGTAAAATATAATCGTGTATGGAGTTGCAAAAACTCTCTTATAATGTTGATATCATTCTAGGTTTTGCTACATGTGGGTGGTGATGTTGACACTGCAATAGAATTTCTTATAGCAGAACAAGGACCTGATGATCACATAGTTGGCAATGACAAAATTTCTTGTCCGGTAGAAAGCTCTTATGGTAATGGCCGGTTAGTGAATGGTTTACATTCATCCGCTATGTGATGCTGTCTGTTATTTGTATTTCTCTCGACTGATTATGTATGGTTGCTTTCATATATGCCTGTTTAACGTCAATTCAATGAAATCTTTGATAACATAAAGTATAGATAACATATGGTTGCTAATTTTTCCTCACTATTTTCCTAGTAGCTGTGTCCTCCCCACTATTGGTTCCTAAGCTCATCGAATAGAAGAATAATGCCACCAGTCTATTTACTTCTTCTTTTCTTCTTTGCTTGCTGTGATGTTGGAACCTGTTCTCTTATGAGCATTTTCTGTAAAATGTAAAGTTGTTAGTGGGAGACTTCATTTGATTTCCAAATCGTGCCTTATGGTTTTGCTTTTGTTGGCAAAACTGCTGCCCAGCTGACCATCCGGATGAGGACTGTGAACAGAACAAATTAAAAATTGAAGACTCGGAATGCAAACAGTTTTTACCTTGCAATGATATGGAAGAAGAGAACAGCTCTCAACATGATGATAAGGTTTTATGGTTTATACATAAGATAATTGAAATTGAAATTGGAAGTATCACTTCTCGTCATTTGTCAATTTGATCCGCATTCACTTTGCCATCTCTTTTGTTGCTGCAGAAAGTTCCAAGAAACAAGTCATGCCCATGTGGTTCGAAAAAGAAATACAAATCTTGTTGTGGAACAGTTTCTGCTAAATCTTCTGCGAGAATTGCAGTGTATGCTCCTTTGAAGAATGTCTTTTTTTTAGGTCAATTAATTTGTTTTACTTTTACATGAACTTTATCCAAATATCTAAAGATGATACGGCTACAGCATAAAATATGCATACTCAGGTAAAGTAGACATACCCTGTTTTGGATGCACATCACTGGAAATTGGAAACAGACATCTAACAATCTATGATTCTATCAGAAAAACTTCATCATCATGTTTGAGGTCCCCTATTTAAATTTACATGAAAAAAACCTTCTTTGAAGTATTATCTTCATATATTAAGAGGACAGTTTTAACTATTGTTCACCATATGTGGTAATCGCTCCATATCAATGGGCTTTCTATATGAACAATCTATAATTACTTTCTTTAGATTTGGATTGTAAGCTGAAAGAGACAGGCGAAACCGTTGCTAATACTTGTGTTGGATCCTGACTCTTTAGAAACTTCATGATTGACAATTGTTAAGCTAAACAATTATGGATTTACTTTGACAGAAACCGACCAGTTGAGCAAGGCAAGAGCCGAAAAGACAGAAAGCAATTTAAAAAAGGTGGGTCAACAAATGCTTTGAATACAATTCAATCAGATGGAGGGCCACCTGATATGGGTGCATTATGTATCTAATAACATTTTCAGGTATTGTTGCCATTGCAGCTGATGCTCTATGTGATTTACCATTGAGGCGTGGCACAAGGAACAACTTTCTTATGTAGTCTGAAATTATAATATCTAGGGCAGACTGATTTAAATCTTTTAATATCTGTCTGGTGCGGTGATGCTTGGATTTTCTAGAATTAAAGTCATTCGAGTTTTGAACCTTTTATGAAGGAGGCAAGAAAAGTAGTTCTTATTATAATTAGATTGGCTAAGTTTGTATTTAAGTAAATGTTTAAGGTAAAAAGATAGGATTTAGTATGAAAAGATGTATACCAATTTCTTTAGTATGAAAAGATGTATACCAATTTCTTAAGAACTAAACAATCAACTACTAATATGTTTCCGCTTATGCAGAAATCACTTGTACAAAATAATTAACATAAAGTCGCCCTTGCTAAAAATTGTATCATCATTTATATACACCTCACGATTACCCCAAATGAAATATGTATGCTTGTCTTTTCTTGTTTTTAGCATGTTGTTTCTTCTCTCCCCCAAACCTCCATATCGGTTGATGCTACAATAATAAACGTAAACCAAGGAGATTACTCTTTCATTTTATCTTTGAGTTATTCATGTCTATGGGCTATAGAAGAAACTACCGTTCTTGTATAATCCGCATTTATTCTACTTTTTCTAACATGTCAGTGTTCTTATACTACTTCGGATAGCTGATAGATTTTCTATTTGCCCCTTGTAGGTTTATCATTAACTGATATGCACGGGTTTGCAATTTAAGAGAAACAACCCTGACTCCTGTTTACAGAGGGGGATACAGAAGGTTGACATGTATGTACTTATAGCGTGCCAACACTCGATAAATATAGAGAAGGAATTCTTGGTAATGGCAGCTAAGATTTTGATTTTGGTGATTCTTAAAAGATCCAAATACCATAAAACCCTTCACATTTTGTTCTTAATTTTGGTCCATATATGTATGTTCATTCACCGTATATGGATTTTCCCTAATTATGATGTGAAACCCTACCTGATTTGTATATGTTTGGGTCATATTTCATTCACAATAAGCTAAGAAACAGACGTCTGCCAGATATGATTGATTGATCCGTAATGATGTTTTATCTTATTATGAGAAAGTCATTTAAATGGGCACCTAATTTTGGTAAAGTTTAAACAGTGCTTTTTTTTCTGTTATTCTACCCAGAGAAAATCTGGAACTAGTGTTGTAAGAGTGTTCAAGTGCTTTTTATTCTGTTATTCTACCCAAAGAAAATCTGGAACTAGTGTTGTAAGAGTGTTCAATCAATATGTTGACGTCAAATTTTATTGTAAGAAATCAAATTGATTGAGTTGATAGATCGGCATGACATCATTAATACAGCATTAACAAGACGGGAAAATAAACTTTATTTTGTAGCCTAACAGAAGTGTTTATATTTTAGAAAATAACTCTTACTATCTGAATATTTAACTTTTATTGGAATATGTTTGGAGAACATTAAGCCGCTGTTTGATTGTTATTATTGTGTGAAAAATGTATGGTTAAAATGTAAGGAAAAATTTTGGATTTACATATTGTATGAATGTGTGGTTGAAAATAGGTTTAGAAAATAAATTGTTTTCTTTTTAAGGGAGTCAAAATGGGGCTAATTACCCAAAAATTGCTTTAATGTATTTTTAAACCTCCTTAAATGTGCTCTAAGACTAAAGAGGGTGAATTTAAAAAATTGACAAATTATAAAATCGGACTAAAATCGTTGATTTGAGTCAATGTGCACCTGTCAACATTTTGGTTTTGAGATGAATTGATTTAGGTAGTGAAAGTAAAAAATTGTTTAAAATTGAAAACAATTCATTAAATAATTTAAATATATGGATATGAGCTTTACTTTGTTAATCTTATCATGTCATATCATATGATAATCATTTTTAATGGAAATAAATAACATTGCTTCAGCCAATGAAATATTAAGGGCCTGTTTGGTAGGGATTCTAATTTTTTATAGTAAATCAATTCTCATTTTCAACCACACATTTTTCAATAAAATAATATTTTCCATCACATCAATAATTTTTTCTTCTTTTTCATCCCATCATATCACTATTCAAAATCAATTCTTCCCCCAAAAAATCCCTACCAAACAAGCTCTAAGAGCCCTTTTGCCATGTCTTTTGTTTTAGCTTCCCGTGGAAGAACTTTTGAATAAAGTTACTTTAATTTTTGTTTGAAAACTAATTTTTTTTTTAAAAAAAAATTTATTTCAAAAGTGCTTTTAGAGAAAGTTAAGTTGGATAAATTTCCTTTAAAAGCTCTTTTAACTAAAAGAAACAATTTCATAAAATTAGTCAAACGGGTCCAAAAGTAACCTTTGGATCTCAAAAATTCATTTTCACTTTTCAAAAATTATGCAAAACAGACCCTAAAATATAAAAGTCACTTAATTTTTAACATAAAATAAGGGAAAATTGTAGCCACGGTACCAAACTTTTCATTTAGTTGTAGACTTTACTCAAATCTTTCATTTGCATCACCCACGGTACCAAACTTTTAAAAAACTCGCATCCAAAGTCCAAATGAATGAAAATTGTTAGTTTGACCGTTAGTTGACCAAAGAATTGACCTTAACCATACTTTTGACTAATTTTAAAAAGATAAAATGATAACTTTACATTTTCTATAATAAAATAATTTAAAAAAAAACTCAAACCACCCCAACTCAACCCAACCCAACCTTAACGTTAAATTCTGTTATCTCCTTTACCTTTCTCACTCCCACCCCCAAATTAAAATCAGAAAATTCACCGGCCACCATCCCACACTCTCTATCTTCACGTCTATATAAACCCCAAGTGCAAGCCCTTTTTCTACATCAAAAAATTGGGTTTGACTTAACAAAGAGAAGAATTAGCAATTGACAAATAATAAAACGAAAAGAGTTAAAACATAATCAAATTATGTCTTTTGATGTAGCAGCAACATCAAGCTCTCAGATGTTTACTCCATCCTCAAATAGATTATCACCGATTTTCTGCAAGCCCGCCACCCCACCTGCTCTGTTGTCTCCTTCGCCGTTGCCTTTAGCTATCAAAAAACCATTGATCAATAAAGATGAAGATGGAGGAGAAGATAGGTTATTGAAGGCGATATTTTTGAAGCGAAAACGGCCGGCGAGGATTGATATTCTGATGTTGAATATGGTGTTGACGTCGAAAATTGTATGAACAAAATTCAAGCCAACTTAAAATGTAAATAAGAATTTCATCGATAATGAATTGCAGATTTACATTGTAACTACAAGTGTTTGCTCTTTTTTCTCAAAGAGATATTTGAAATATGAAGTATTTAGAGTTTTTTTCTTCACTATCTTTCCAAGACACCCATTCTTCCTTTTATGGGGGGGGAGGGGTTAGCATGCATTCTTCATTTCCTTGTCTTATCAGCTGCAGTACCAAACTGGGAAAATACATTATTGGCATGTTTGAGTTGGTTACTGAGCTCGACTCTGTTAGGTCATTATGTGTTAACCTTACATACGGTCTCCAACAATTAATGAACTAATTAGAGAGTAAAGCTAAAATACTTGATTGGTTGAATTGGTGGGCGCTGATGTAAGACCTTCCAAATGTCATTTGTTGATTGACTATTTGTACAATGTGTAAGGAATCTTCAATCATTATATCCTTTTGAAATCTAGTAATAACTAATACGAACTGATCTCAAATAGCCAAGCTTAAATTAGCATGAGCTTAATGTACAACAAACTGTACTTAACGACCTTGATGGTCGGATGTCAACATATGGGTTTGGATAATATCACTTTTCCGACATCACTCAAAAAGTTGACTTCAGACAACATCGACGGTCGACCTTTATCCCAACGAATTGTCGATTCATGGTTCGATGCTAAATTTCGAAATGCTGAAATTGAAACGAAATGCCTTCCCTCGTGGAGAGTGGGAACCAAATGAAGGAGAATTTCTTAAATTAAAATTTCTTCTATTTCAAAACATAATTCTGAAACGCTAGAGAGCTGACAATATCCACTTCTCGAGACTTGAGCGCCTAGTCATTTCGTTTGGGTATCGCAAAGTGCTGGATGAGATCCCTGGTGGTTTTGGAGAAATTTCAACTCTTCAATCCATCGAGTTGCATGGCTGTAGTGATTCAATTGTAGAATCGGCGAAGAAAATAGAAGAGAAATAATTGGATTGGGAGAACGATGCAGTCAAGTTACATATTAAGAAGTACTAAATGCGCAGAGTTTCAAAGTTGTCAATTCCAATCATTTACTGGTACCATTTTTCTTTTGTGAACCTTTTTAGCTTTCATTTCGTCTTTCTTGTCTTTATCTACATTCTTACTTCCTCTCTTCTGAATTTTCTGATTTTGATTTGGAGGCGAGAGTGAGAAAGATGAAGGAGATAACACAATTTTAGGTTTGGGTTTTTTTTATTTTAATTATTTTATTATAGAAAAGGTAAATTTACTATTTTATCCTTTTAAAATTAGTCAAAATTATGGTCAAGATCAATTCTTTGGTCAACTAAAGGTCAAACTAACCGTTTCCATCCATTTGGACTTCGAATACGAGTTTTTTAAGATTTGGTACCGTATGTGGCACAAATGAAATGTTTGGGCAAAATCTGAAACTAAATGAAAGATTTAATACTGTGGCTATAATTTTCCCTAAAATATGTGAAAAGATATTTCATGCCATTACACATGGAGATAAGCTACATTACTACGGCCATATGGACCTTGCTAATGACGGGGGACTCTGAGATATTTGTCCTGGTGAAAAGAGAATAATCCTTATAGAGAATAACTATGATGATTTTTGTCGAAAGTTAGAGTTAATTGTCTCGATGGTTAGTGAACTTATGTACATGCCTTCGATTGCTCATTGAAATTTAAAACGTTGAGTTTTAACCACTGAGCTTATCAAAAAGTTGGACGTTATTCACTACCTTAACATATGTTCCAAATCTATAACATAATTAGTGACGTGGCTAACTTAATGCACATGTGACACCCTATCACTCAATTAACAAATGTCACGTCTTTGATTGCTCACTAAACTTTGAAAAACGTCTTCGACTGTCCACTAAATTTTAAAAAATGTCTTCGATTACTCACTGAACTTTGAAGTGGTCGAATTTTGGTTACTAAACTTATAAAAATGACATTGACAACCGTGTCTCGTTTGTCTGCTTTATTACTTTTACACGATCTGTGGGAATAATGTACACATTTTTTAACGAACAACGGGTCAATATCATTTTTATAAGTTTAGTAGTGGCCAAAATCCGACTACCTCAAAGTTTAGTAAGCAATCAAAGACTTTTTTTAAAAAATTTAGTGAACTATCAAACACGTGACAATATGTTAACAATTTGACGGGGCGCCACATGTATATTTTGTTAGCCACATCATTAATTATGTTAAAGATTTAGATCGGATGTTAAGGTAGTAAATAACGTTCAACGTTTTGATAAATTTAATGATCAAAACTTGACATTTTAATTTTCAGTGAGCAATTAAAAACATACACATAAATTCAGTAACCATTGGAACAATTAACTCTGAAAGTTGACATGCATTTTGTAAATCAAAATCGTTGTTCCTAATTTGGGAACTCGTAAGCCATCTTTCTTTCCTTTGGGAGATGTCTTTTCATCTCCCACTTTCCTAATTTTGGTTTGTGGGGCCTAATTGATGAATTCTTTAGATGGAATGGGTCCCCTTAGGCTTCAATAATCATAATTTGCACTACCAT